TTAAGGATAGAACTACCATAAGATCCAGCTATTCCACTGCTGGGTATTTACCCAAAGAACGTGAAAACACCAATGCGTAAAGACACATGCACCCCTGTGTTCATTGCAGCGTTATTCACAATAGCCAAGACTTGGAAGCAATTTAAGTGCCCATCAAGAGACAAATGGATAAAGAAGATGTGGTATATATACACAATGGAATACTACTCAGCCATAAGAAACGATGAAATCCAGGTATTTGTGACAACATGGATGGACATTGAGACTATTATGCAAAGTGAAATTAGTCAGAGAGAGAAGGTCAAATACCATATGATCTCACTCATTAAGTAGTAGATAACAACAACAACAAACAAACACATAGAGACAGAGATTGGATTGGTGGTTACACATAGAGACAGAGATTGGATTGGTGGTTACCAGAGGGGAAGAGGGGAGGGAGGAGGGTGAAAGGGATGATTAGGTACATGTGTATGGTGATGGAATGCAATTAGTATTTGGGTGGTGAACATGAGAACATGATGTAATCCATGCAGAAATAGAAGTATAATGATGTACACCCGAAATTTATACAATGTTATAAACCAATGTTACCGCAATAAACAACAACAATAAAAAATACCCCTCTTCCCACTAGACCTGCAGGAACCCCAAGAGCTGGGACTGTCAGAATCTATTACATTGGGACCCCCATTATTCACAATGCCTGACTTAGTGTGGTGTTCAATAAAAAGTAGTTCACTTAATTAACAAATTCATTAACTAATACATAGAAAATACATCTCTCTTCTCTGCAATTGTGAGAAAAACTTTTATAGGAAAAAAAAGTTGTCACCATCACTGTAAAGGTTAACGCCCGCCAGAAGTGTGATGCTGTGAAGTTTAAAAATACAGAGGACCAGTTACAGGCTCTTGCCCTCTGGACTGATTTCTGTGAACTGGATTCCACTAAAATGTGAAAAATATATACAATTAATAGAAGCATACTTTATTTTCTCATGATAAGCTCATAAAATGGTGGCCCACCTCTGGACAATCCTTGGTCTCAGCAAAACTCCTTTTGAGGACTATAACTTGCTTTAGAGAACATGCATATATTCCACAGCTGTGTTTCAGCTCAAGAAAAGTGTAAGAAAACTGTGGCTGCTGTGGGAGAAACAGGAACCCTGAGGCCTGTGCAGTGTGACTCTGGTTCCTCTTTCAACATCATTCTGTTACTTTTGTAAGACAGCATCTCTGGCCCCATCTCGGAGCTGTGGGACAGCTGGCAGGACACAAGGAAGTCCCCAGTGCTGCCCTCCTGCCTCGTGGATGGCTAGGTGTTTTCCTCTGTGTGCATCCACCAGAATCACCAGAATGTTCTGAAGGAGGTTGTGATCTCGGACGACTGGGACATGAAGGAAACAAGTGAACTCTCAGGGCTGCCAGCTGGCTGGATGCACCACGGAGCCGTCCTCCAGGGGACAGACCCTGTGCTGCCCTATGTGGGTGACAGGTGCTCAGGGGAGCCACTACCCAGGGTGACAGCAGTGCTGAGATCCTGGAGACCCTCAGTACTCCCTCCTGCTGCAGAGAAAGGGCCATTGTCCCAGCTCCTCACGGTTCAGTCACCTGGAGAGCTGCCGGGGTCACCAGCCACTCCCATCAGTCTCTCTGCAGGTGTTGGGGGGAAGGCATCCTAACCCCAGTCTGTTTCTATCTGCCTGCCCTGGTGCCTGAAATTTGCCATATTGAATTCAGGTTTTAGCATTTGCTTCCCAGACGACATTTGGGTTCAATCTCTTTTTGAGCCACTGGAATTTTAGTAAAAATGATGCCTGTCGTGGCTTTCAGCTGTCTGGTAGGACATGGAAGAAATGGGACTTAGGACGGGTAAGCCTTGGTGTGAGTATGTTTGTGAGGGTGTCTATAGCCTGGATCCAGGGTTGTTGGGAGGTGGGTGTGGCTGCAGTGGGTGGGTTCTTTGAAATAAGTGGTCAGGGTGGGAATGGGGGAAGCAACAGGGAATCAGGAGAGAGAGATGCTGAAGTGGGAGGTGGGGGTCTTGAACACAATGCTCCCCACAGTTTTCCTGGGGACCCTCTGCATCCTACACAGCAGGAGGGTCAGTCCTGCTCTGGGAGCTTCAGGAAGATGAGGGAGGCAGAGGGATCCATGCACGTCCTCAGGAGGGGCTGGTCGGCTGAAGGAGTGAGACCAGGTTTGTGGGGATCCCCTCTGCCTTTCCTCCCGACCATCCTCTAGGGCAGATGTTGGCACCATCAGACTGCTCTCTCTCGTCTCTCCCTCTTTGCTTTGCTCTCTGGGCAGCTCTAGCTGGCCTCCTTCCTTGAGACTTTTCCAGAAATGAGTCATGCTGAGTCCCTAGGCACATTCTCCTTCTGTCTCAAAAACAAAAGGGATAGAGGCTAGATTCCCCCAAGAACTCCCAGATGCAGCCAGCTTTCTACTCAGGAAACCACACCCAGGCACGGTAGGCTGGCAGTGTGTCTGAAAGAGGTGGCTAGTATAATCTCCTTATCTCTGATCACTGGATGTTTTTCGAATTAGCACAACTGAATGTTGACAATGGTTTCTCCTTGGAAAAATTAAGGACTTGGCCATCAGCATAACAGGGGCTGGAAATGATCTGTCATTGGTGAGGTAAGTGCTATGCATGAGAGGTGGATTAGACAAAATACTTCAGACCCTCCCCACCCTTGTAGGAGCAGAGTGTGAGAGAGAAGCCTGGAGACCATTTCTTTAGGGGTGGCACCTGAAGCTTGATCCCTAAATGTGCCCGTGCCCCACTCTGGGTTGGATTTCTGGCTACCTAATGCTGACTGTTCTGACAATGGAATCCTTCTTGAGTGAACCTGAAAGGACGGAGGGTTTTGTCTTCATTCAGCTTTCAGAACAGGATGGACGAACGCTCTGTGCCTCCATGGGAACACGTTTAATAAATGCTGGTGTGTGACAGAATTTGGTCTGAGATTTGCTTTCATTATAACCTGCGGATGAGGCTTGGGGGAGTGGCTAACATGAACTCATCGAAACGTTTCAGTGGTGAGCATTATTACCAAATGGAAACCCAAGAGCTGTGCATGGCCGTGAGAGCTCAGCTCCATTTGCTATAGTGGGTCACAGGCTCTGGCTCACAGAACCGGGTCTGCACCCACAGTGGCCCCTCACAGGTGCTGGCCCTCTTCCTCTTCACACCTGGGTCCTCAGCACAGACAGGGGGTCTGGCCAGCTGAAGGGTGGAGGCAGAGGGGACAGAGCCGTCTTTCTTCTCTCACTGCTCCTGATGCCTTCTAACAAGATGGGCGTTTGAGACAGGAAAAAGTAAATAAAAGGTTTGGATTCAGGTATTTTATTTTCCAAATAATAGTGGTAGATTGGGGAATCAGATCCTATGAGAGATGTGAGCTCCATCCTCCAATTCCAGGCAACTAATCTGCCCTGGGACAAGACCCAGGGTCCCAACAGCCCTTGAGGGGCCAAAGACTGGTGCCAGCTCTGCCCCCTCCCCTCGGTGCTCCTGTACCAGGCTCACCCACAATCCCCTCCCTGTGAAACTGCATCTGCATCAGGTTTGAACTATGTGACCCTGCCCCATCAGGCAGAGTTGATTGGCCTGGAGGGGGCAGGTCAGCTGACCTAATGGCAGCCAATCAGTAGGCTGAGTTATGATGTGGTGAGTTGAGCCAATCAGATTCTCTCTTGGGAACTTGAACTGGGAGCCCAAGAGCTGCAGGCAGAGCTGGACAGATGGAGCTGAGCTGAGGTGGAAAAAGAAACCACAGGAGGGGATGTGGGATCAGAGACTTGGGGGTTGCCTAAGTCACATTCATCACTGGGAATCTTTGACACAATTCCAGCCATTGAAGTCCCAGGCCTTGGCAGGCCAATGATTCCCATTCTTGTCCATCACAGGTCTGTCTCTCCCTGCCCCTCATGTATCCTCACACAGTAAAAAGAACACAGCCCTCCAAGAGAAAACCCAAGAAAAGCAATGAATGGCCAGGACCCTCCTCAGTGTAGCTGGGAAGGAGCCTGTATTAGTCAGCTCTAGCTGTGTGATATTGTCATTTATAATAAGAAATATATATTTGGTCTTGATCCCTGGTTCTGGCACAGAACTCCTAGAACCCTTGGAATTTCTTAAGTGGTGAGAATTAAAAAGTTATCTTTTATGTTAATGAGGTGACTTTTGGAAGACCCCTTGGTCACCTAAGGATGGAGCTGGCTGCCAGTGGAGCCAACAGTGTGATTAGAGAGTTGGAACTTTCAGTCCCAGCCCCTGACCTCGGGGGAGGGGAGAAGGGCTGGAGATTGAGTTCAATCACCAATGGCCAATGATTTAATCCATCATGCCTATATAATGAAGCCTCCATAGAAACCCAAAAGGACAGGATTTGGAGAGCTTCCAGGTTGGTGAACTGTGGAAATATGGGGAGAGACATGTTCAGAGAACATAGAAGCTCTGTGCCCCTTCCCACATACCTTGCCCTATGCATCTGGGAAGGGGGTTCAGTTTTGTAGGACTGAACCCGGAACCTGTGGAATCTGACACTATCTCCTGGTAGATAGCGTCAGAACTGAGTTGAATTGTAGGACACCCAGCTGGTGTCTGAGAACTGCTTTGTGGTGTGGGAACGCACACACACACACACACACACACTGGAATTCAGTATTAGAATTGGAGGCTGCCATAACAGCATACCACAGAGTAGGTGACTTAAGCAATAGACATTTATTTCTCACAGTTCTGGAAGCTGAGAAGTCCAAGATCAAGGTGCCGGCAGATTCATTTCCAGTGAAGATCCTCTTCCTAGCTTGCAGATGGCTGCCTTCTCACATGGAGGAAAAAGAGAGCTCTGGTCTCTCCCCTTCTTCTTATAAGGACACGAATCCCATCATGGGGGCCCCATCCCCATGATTTTGTCTAAACCTAATTACCTCCCAAAGGCCCCACCTCCAAATCCCATCACACTGAGGGTTAGGGCTTCACATGAATTTGGGGGGGACACAAACATTCAGTTCATAACAGAGCCCAACTTTGTCTTTAATAAAATTCACACTAAGCTGCATTTCCCCAAATAAAATCTTCCCGTGCTTTTATTTAGCTCCATTAAAATAATCCTAAATGATTACAAAACAGAGGGAAATCAATAAACCAAATTCCACGCCTGCTGGCTAAGCCAGAATTCTTCATAAAACTGGTTGCTGTCAGGGCAATTCCTTGGTCTTACTGCTTTTCTCGCTTGCTTCTGGACCTCAGCATCCCGAAGAGGACTGCAGCACCCAGGCCCAGTCCTAGGACACCTGCTGTGACACCCACTGTCGTGAACAAATCAGTGACCTGCAGGAGAAGAGAGGAGGGGTCACACTCAACATCAGCTGTCTGACCGTGGATACGTGCACCAAGAACCTTCATCTCAGGAAGGACCCATCTGGCCCTTGGCCTCTTCAACAGAACCACAGAGGGAACAAATATTGGCACAGAACGTGGATCCTAAGAGGGCAGGTCACCCAGGAAAGAGGGGAGGAGGTGCCTGGCAGGGAAAGAAAGAGAGGAAGAAGGAGCTGTAGGTGTGAGGTAGGGACTCAAACTTGTTGTGATTAGTTGGCTCAGATCATGGCGAGCAGAGAGAGCCCATTCCTCAGTATCAAAGTTGGGGAAATCATCCCTTTGAACTCTCACTACCCAGGGCTTAAGGGTAGGGAGTGCACCAGGATTGTTCTTGGAGTCCCAGGTGCTCATCCACCTCCAGGCAGAGGAGGCACTCACGGTTTATCTGCTGAACAAATGTGTTGACTATGAGTAGCACTGAGGTTATGCTTTTACCAAATAAGATGGCTTTGCTTGTGTCAGAGTAGGAAAAGGGCTCTGACAAAGGAAGTGGATACTCTGAAAAAAACACATCATGTGGTAGAGACGTGAGGATGATCCCTGAGGGTCGGTGTACTTGGCACAGCTGGTATGAACCTGTGGGCCCACCCTGACCACATCACTGTGTCAACAAGACCAGTGTAGACCACGAGAATGGCTGCTTTCCAGCTGTCAGTGCTGGGGTGGGAACTTTACAAGCACTGTATTCTTATTAACCTGCCCAACAATCCTATTTATAACCCTATTATATTCCCACTTTACAGAGGAGAAGACCGAAGATGGACAGCATAAAGAACTCACACAAAACCACACAGCTGCCAAGTGACAGGGTCCAGAGCTGCCTGACATCCCAGCAGGAACACTCAAGCCCTTCACAGCCAGGGGAAAAAATATTCCAAACAGTGACCAAAGAGCAGATTTCTGTGGCATATTGCTGAATTTGAGCTATGTGAGCAGCTGGGGAAAAGAAAAACACTGTCTGTTTCATTCAAAGACACTCAGAAACTATTCCAACTGTCAAAGATAAACACGGACATTAGTTAAAGTGGTGAAAACAGATTTTGTTCAGCAACTACTGACAGCTGGGAAAAGAGCTGAGATCCATTGCGATTTGCACAGAGGGGACTGGGCGTTTTAAGGGAGAATGAGGGAGTGGGGAGAGCGGGGGTTCAGCAGAGTCAGAAAAGTGAGAAATTGCAGAGTTGGTCAGTGTAAATGCCATTAGCCAGTTGTGTCTGCTAGTTGACAAGTGAGGAAGTTAGGATTCTACCCCCCTACAGAGACAGGGAGACAGGCTGGTCCTTCCTGATGAGTACATTCAAAGGAATGGCTTCCAGGTCCTGGAGAGAGACACTCCGAGTTGTAGGAGATACATATACATCTCACAGGGGCAGAGGAAGGGTTCATGACTGTAAGCCCCTTTTTAGTAAAGGCTCTAAGAAAGGGAGGTCAGGGGCCCTATCGTCAGATGTTGGCTGGAATGAACAGTAAATTCTCCTGGCAGCGTTGGGCTTTTTCAGGCAGGCGTTTAAGGGGAGCTAAAGTCATCCTAGGGACATGGCCTCCTGTTACTGGAAGCCCAGCTCGAGTTTGGTGGTCTCCTAGTGCACAAGTTTGGATGGAGCATTCTGTGCCGAGAGTTCCGCCGTTCTCAAAACCCCAGTTTCTTACAGAGACAGACAGAGAAGAGTCTTTCTAGAGAGACAGAGTCAGAAGAGAAGGAAAGAATGGAAATTAACAAAAATTTTTAAAAAGCTTAACTAAATTGGAGTTGAGAAGGCCTGTAGGGGATGCTCTCATGCCCTGTCACTCATCATCAATTACACCAAACAGGAAGAGACAAACAGGAAATAAAAGCACGTTGCTAGCAAAGGATGACTTCTCTCCCCACCGGGCGACAGCCAGCCAATGAGAAATGCTGCAGCTCAGCCGATGAGAAACACCACAGCTCAGCCAATGAGAAATGC